TACTTTTAAGGGCTGCAGAGACTGTTGTAGGTTCAGCTTCAATTAGTTTAGGTGACTCTAACTCTTCAGCATAAAGAGCTAAATGACAATCATCTTGACAATCAGATAAATAATAGGTCTTAGTGGCTGATTTAGACTTGGTAATCATAGGGTGTATATTGACAGTTGTAGATGTAGTAGGACATGATACTATATTATGTGTGCCCAGACTTGAACTAGCTGAAGCACTAGCAAATTGGGAGGAAGTAAGATTAACAACAAGTGGACATGGTGAGAGATAACAATCTGTAGACCTTGTAGGGATAGCAACTTGTATTTTTTGGTTAGTGGCAGTAGTGGTTTCAGAAGAACAACCAGGTTTGTTACAGTGTAAGGAACACTGATCAGGAGAGTTATTAGTTGTAGGTAATGGTGTAACATTAGGTTGGGATGGGTTGTTACAATTAGTATAAGCATGTAGTAAAGGAGGAGAATATGTATTTGAATTGAAAGCATGAGGGTTAAGAGAAGAAGAATTCTTACCAACTACTGTATCATCTGAAACATGGTTGTCAGGAGTAATGTTTATTGCAGAGGGATCAGTGGCTGCTAAAGACTATAAGGAATAAGGGACAGACTGAAAAGGAAAGAATGAAGTGTTTGTGTTTGTGGAGGTATCAGTATTATGAATTGACCTAGAGAGTGTAAAGTTAGAAGGCTGAAATGAAGAATGTAAAGAATTGATAACAAAAAGGAACTCACACTCATTGAATTGAACACTAGGAGTAACTACAATCTTACCATCAGGAGTTAGACACTTGTATCCCTTGTGAATCAAACTATACCCTACAAAGACAGTCTTAATGGTATGAAAATCAAATTTATGTTTATTGTAGTTTCTTATGTAGGGAAAACAAGTACATCTAAAGACCTTCAAACCATCATAAATAGGAACCTTGTCAAATAACTTTTGATAAGGTGACATATTACAAAGAGTGGCAGTAGGCATTCTATTTATCAAATATACATCAGTTTTAAAGGCTAACCACCAATATTGAAGGGGCATGGATGAAAGATGGATGCATGAAGAATCAAGCATATCATGCTATAACAAGTATAGTCATAGTTAAAAAAAAAATTTCAATCAAATTGAAATAAGTAAGGTAGAACATGTTACCTTAAGTCCTTAGCAACCTTGGAGACTCTTAATTTCAAGAGAAATTAAGCAAAAGAGTATCCACACCAAGGGAAGAAGAGATTTGACCAAGAGGGAGATTTAGGGTTCTTAGAGATTTTTTCTCTATACAAAAATTCATATATCATTTTCTTTATATAGGAATCCTTGTAAACAATTCAATAATTGTTTTGGACTTCCTTAAACAATTCCATAATTGTTATGAAGTTGTTAAACTTCTTTAAATTATAACATTGGATTAACATTTAATCACAATTAACAATTTAACTCTTAAATTGTTTACATAACAATTTAACCCTTAAATTGTTTACAATTACAACCCCTTGTAAAATCCAATTTAATATAAAGAAAATGATTAATATAAATAACTTTATTACCTTTGGTAGGTGCTAGCCAACCTTGGATAATCAACTCTCTTTGGCTATTTCTTCATTCTCCTTAGTTTTTATGTGTGACCTCTTAGGTTCACTGTGGCCTAGCCGTGGGCCCAATATCACAGACTATTTCGATATGTTTTGTCATAACTCTTTATGAACAAAACTCCCACTGATTATGGTAGGCATCTAGCAATGCTCCATAACCCCTAAGTCACAATGAAGATATACTCCAACGAACCTTTTACAATCATACATGTTGTATAATCAAATCCTTCCGTTGTCTAATCCTAATTAAGAATGGATTCATGGTATGTCAAAATCCTTATCTTAATTTTAATTCAATACATATGGAACGTGTCACCATGAAACAACCTTTCATGTAACATTTTATATACCCCGGCCGGAGATTTCCCTTTTCCAATGTATCTTGACATTTGTCTTGGAACTTGATATCAATCTATACCAAGTCAACGGATCCCATCTTGACTATCACTTGTCCTCACACATAAACAACACATGGCCAAATCGGCTTATTAACACATGGCATGATTAGCCTCATGTTTATACACCATATGAACCATATGCGTTTATGCAGAATCCAACCGTGATATCTCAGGTCTAAGGATTAAAAATACCCTAGTACGATCTTATGATAAATCATTGACTACATTTTAAATGTCCATGTGATTCATCATAAATGGCCATATTCGATAAACAGTTCACTAACCGCGTATCCATGCTAATGCCCTAGTGATATAACTTTTATAATCACCCACACCAATACCATCACATGATATTCTACGGAGGCATTCAGCATGCCTACTATGTAATATTATTGCCCAATTAATATTACCTATGTAGGGAATACTTTGATGATTTTGATCTTCTAAAGATTTGTATCATCCGGACATTTCACATGTAATACATATATATAAATGAAGCAATAAACCACATGTGAAATAAGAACACTTTCTTTTATTGATAAGATAAAATGTATATACAAACTATATACATTCACATATATATACAAAACATAATGCCTCGGAACCGATGACACGATTGGTTCCTAGGGCATACACTAACAATGGATGCATAAGCAAGCAATGTTAATCCAGATTCTATAACATGCCTATGCTTCCTCTCATTTCTACCATTTTGTTGGTGAACATAAGCACAAGATTGTCTAATTTGGATACCTTGGTCAACTAGGTAGGATAGGAGAGCCTTATATTCTCCTCCCTGGTCAGGCTGTAAGCTTTTAAGCTTATATCCAAACTGCCTTTTAGCTAAGTGCTGAAATTTTATAAAAACTGACCTAACTTCAACTTTGGTTTTTAGAGGAAACAACCATGTGAATCTACTATAGTCATCTAGGAATTGAACGTAGTATTTAAAACCTTCAATGGATGTCATAGGGGCAGGACCCCAAACATCACTATGCACTAATTCTAAGGGTGTTGAGGCATGAGAATGTGAAGCTGGAAAAGTAGTGTGGTGTAATTTGCCTACTTGGCAGGCATCACAAAAAGTATCATGAAAGCTAGTTGAAATGTTTAATTTTGAAGGAAACTTGATATGCATATTGGTTAGTATGTGACGTTGAACTTTGAGTGAGGATGGCCCAGTCTTTTGTGCTAAAGTAAGCAACCATTAGTGTTAACACTTACTGTCAAGCAATGTGGAGCAATGGTATGTGTATGTGTAGTGCAATTTTTGGTAATAAATGTGCAAGCATTGATATCAGCAGAAACATAACACAAATAAAAAGCATGTGAATGTGCGGTGCAATTTTCGATAGTAGATGTGCAAGCATTGATATCAGTAGAAACATAACACAAACTAGAAGCATGTGTTTGAGCAGTGCACTTATCAGAATAAGAAGTTTTATTGCAAGCATTGATATCAGTAGAAATAGAACACAGATTAGAAGCATGTGTTTGAGCAGTACATTTATCATAAGCATGTGTTTGAGCAGTGCACTTATTAGAACAAGAAATTTTATTATTTAGAGATGAACTAGATTGATCAGTATTAGGATTATGGACTACATCATCATTGTTTATGCTGGGCACGTACTAATTACCAGTATCAGACTCAATGTATCTAACAGGAGTACTACAGATTTAATTGAGGTCACATTGACCCTAAACATCAGACTCAACTGACACAAAAAAGCATCAAAGTGACCTTGAACATCAGGTTCAGCTGAAACAAATGAAGAACCAGACTCAATTGAAGCAAATGGATTTCTATAATGTTTTGATTGATGTTGAAGACCTTGTAGAGCAAGAGCAGGAGTATTGGTAGAAGCTACATTAGATGATGGTGCAATGGCAGAGAACAAATGAGGGACAAGTAAGGGCTGAGTAGAGGAGGAATTTAGCTGGTACAAACCACCTTTAAGGTCCCCTTGCAGTGAAATTGCTCTTGTGTACTTGTCCTTAACAACACAGCAGTTAGAGTCAAATTCAATAATAACATTATTGTCTTTAGTGAATTTAGAGATGCTAAGTAAGTTTTTTGTTATCTTAGGCACACATAGAATGTTTTTAAGGTGTAAACACTTAGAATGAAAAGAATTTGGAATAGCAGAATGGCCAGTATGGGAAATAGGGAGATACTCACCACTGCCTACTTGAAGTTGATCCTTTCTAGAATAGCCTTTGCTGAGATTCAGATGATTGAGGTCTAAGGTAACATGATCAGCTGCTCTCGAGTCCATATACCATATTGGATCAGTGGGTGTGAGTGATGTAGCAAGAGCAAACTGTGTAAGAGGTGTTGAAGAGTGATAATGTTGATCAAGTGTTGAGTTTAAATGAGGACCAACATTTACAAAATGAGCTTGGCTTTGACTTGGCACCTGTTGACTAGGAACACCAAAACCATTAACTGCAGCATTATCAGCAGACAGAGCAACACCAAAATTAAATCTATCAGATGAAGTTCCCAAATGAGAAGTGTGGGACTGTTGAGAATGAGGTAGTCCTCCAAATCCACTATATGGAAAATTGCCAGATGTATACTGTCCAATGCTATTATACTGTCCAGTGCTATTATACTGAGGAGTATTACGGTGAAAATGGCTGTTGGGTTATGGAAGAGGTGAATTTTCATAAAAGGAGCTTGGCTGTTGTGATGTGTTTGTTGTAGAGGGTTGAATCATGCCATTATAGGCAGAATTATACCTGTGATAACACTGACCAGCAGAATGTCCTGCTTTGTTACATAGTTGACAAATCAATTTGCCTCTCCCAGTATTTCGACATTTGCCCCTACCATGTGACATTCCTCCAAAGGCAGGTGGTCTGTTGATATAGAGATTGACCAAAATTTTGCCTAAGATTCTGACCAAACTGTTAAGGAGTAGCTAAGAGAGGATATTGGGGATAATGAGGATGACCTAGTGACATTAAGGTAGGTGCAGCAGGATAAAGGGAACTAGGCACTCAGTCAGATTGTGAACCTTCTACCTCAGGTTTGGAAACACGATTTATGTCACTAGTGGAACCATGTGAACTATTTAAAGTACCAGTTGAGGCTATATGTGCTGAATAGTTGTACAAATCTATTGCATTGAATTTTTCAAGTCTTATTTCATACTTCTGCAGTAAAAATTGGGCCTCTTGTAGTCTGAAAGAATCGAACTTTGACCCAATGCGTGATGTTAAATTCACTACCATAGCATCAAATTCAGGTCCTAGCCTATCAAGAACATATTGTAAAAGATCCTCATCAGCAATTACCATTCCACTAGCTGACAATTTCTCAGCAATTTCTTTCATTTTCTTAACATAATCACCTACACTTAGATTATCTTTTTCCGTAGTTTGAAGAAGATTCTTAAAATGTAACACTCTAGCCTTTGAGTTAGTAATGAATTCATTCTCTAAGGGAAACCATGTTTCAGTGGAATTCCTACACTTTGATACAAATCCAAACATACTTTCAGAAATTGATACTAAGAGCCAGCTGACTAGAAATTTATCAGTTCGTTTCCACATTATATAGGCAGGATTTAGTTGTTCATTTACAGAAACATTACTTGATTTAACCTCACCACTAATTTGACCTAAATCTTGAGTAATTTTAGAATCAGCAACGATAAGAGGTGAGGGGCATGCAATCTTACCAAGAAGATGATCCTCAAGTTCGTGTGAACTAATGGTAGATAATACCTGAGAACTCCAAAGGCGATAATTGCTTTGAGTGAGTTTGGGATTGATGACTTGTAAGCTGGTGGCTAGAGCTGATGAAGTTCGATTTGTTGAATGATTCAATAATTCGTTTGAATTGTTAAGTCCATTAGTAGTGTAAAACTCAAAGAAGAATAGACGATGAAAGAGAGAAAGAATCTCTATTGATTTTTCATTAAAGAAAATCAGTTACAATTAGCTCATGTTTTATATTGAAAACGAGCTTAAGCAAAGATGAGCTAAAGAAGATGAGCTAAAGTGAAACTTAGCTAAAGTATCGTTACAAACGACGTAAAACATCAAGAGCAAAATGACACCGTATTCAAGAGATGCAAAAGGCAAATTACAAGGAGATTCTCAACTCTTCATTTTATGACAAACACTTCCCCTTAAACTATACAACTCTGTTTTTCACCAAGAATTACTAAAATTCCCTTGTAGACCAGACCACTCAACTGCTGTGACTAACATCCCCTCGTAAATCAAACCACTAGTCTTATTTTAGTAAACTGCTCTGTTCTGGATTTAGTTTCTGGACTTCTCTATTCTTATTTTAGTTTTTCATCAGAGCTTCAAAAAATAACATACTCAACAACAATACTTGTGGACAGAAAACATGCAGTTCTTACTCAGAGCTAGGTTCCTACACTCAACTTATACAGTCATGCCAACTTAGTTCTTGCACTGAGCTTCAAAAGACAACTTTTCAACACAAGTTTGGTTCCTGCATTTAACTGCTCATGTTTCTTTTACTTGCTTCTTTATTCTTAAAAAAAAAAAAAAAAAGCATTCTCTAATCTGAACTAAACTCAAGTTTCAGCATAAAGGCTGCAAATATGCAAACTGCATAGTGAATCACTATTGCAACGTGAAAAACTTGTGTTACAGCTGGTAGTAACTTGACATCAATTTCAATAGCTGATTAAGATTTTAGATCAATGTATTGTGCCTGATACTAGTTTCAAGAACTGAGTAAGTTTTCAAAGCAAGCAAAAAACTTAAGTAAACCAGTGAACTGAACCTAACTGAGTTGCAAGCAAAAATTGAGCAAACCAGTGAACTGAAACCAACTGAGCTGCAAGCAAAACCGAGCTAAGCTGTAAGCAAAACTGAGCAAACTGGTGAACTGAAACCAATTGAGCTGACTATAACTCAAACTAGTGAACTGATTAAACTCTTCAAACCAGGAAAGCAACTAAGCTGATTATGTCTTCAACAACTGATTAAATTTTTCAAACCAGTTAAACTAACTAAGCTGATTATATCTTCAACAGCTGATTAAAATTTTTGAATCAGTTAAACTAATGCTTAGAGCTATCCCTACTGCAACTGATACTAACTTCAACAACAACAATTGATACTTATTTCAACATTATCAGCAACTGACACCAACTTCAAACCAGTAAATTGATGATACTAACTTCAACAATAGCAATTGATAATCATTTCAACATTATCAGCAACTGACACCAACTTCAAACCAGTAAACTGATACTTAGTGCTACTGTAACGTCCTACTTGAGATACATAGCCATTGTTTATGTTATGGCCTCAAGGTTTACTGAATTGCCCCTAAATGAGGTTGTATCTTATTCATGTTGTTTGGTTGGCCCTTGGTTGAGTTTATGTTTTGGGTTTGGTTGAGTGTTTACCCTGGAATTGATAAAGACTTAGCGGATTTTGGAGTTGCAGTCTTCGCCACGGCAACATTGGCTTTGTGTATGGCGGTGTCGGTTCTGTAATTCTTCGTTGGGGTGATAGAGAATCCTTCGCCGCGGCGAAGGGCCGACTGAGTTTTTGTTTGAGTTTCTAGAGAATTCTTTCCTAAGGGCAAAATGAGCATTCTACCCCTAATTAGTAGGAAAAGTGGGGAGTAAAATGCAAGAAAATTTCATGGAGAATAGTGGAGAATGGGGGTGAGTTTGTAAAGAATTAAAGGATAAAGGTGAAATTTTTAGGAAAGAGTAGGGGCAAAATGGGAAAGAGTGTATATTATATGAGCTAATAAGGGTTTAGTTCTCTAAACCCCTTCATTTCACCCATTTCCACCGCCTCTTCATCTCCTATTTTTTCTCAATTCCTCACTCAATCTTCTAAGGGATTTTTGAGAGTTTTGAGTTGAGATTTGACAAAGAATTGATCCTAAGCAAGAAGAGGAAATAAGGGAAAGCTAAGGTCCAACAAGAGTAGAGAGTTTTAGTGAAGACTACTCAAGTATGAGATAAGTAAATCCAACTCAAGTTAAAGTTTAAGAAATCCTTGAGTAGAGATTTTCTTTATGCATGTATATATGATGCTTGTTGAGAAATTGAGTAGAGATGTATGTCTATTTGTTGAGAAATGGAGTGGAGATGAATATTCATGTTATGTTTGTTGGACATGCTTTCTTTATGAGAAGTGTTGATGTGTGATGAGTTTGAGATGAAGTTGGAGGAAATTGAGTAAATTTTTTAGGAGTGTTCTTCTATGATAGGAATTATGTCCATAGAAGGGAGTTTCTTCCCATTTTGGATGATTAAAAAGAGAAATAGAGTTGTAGTTATAGAGGAGTTTTTGTATGCACATGAGTTGTTTGATGAAATGCCTAAGTGAAAACATGTTACCAAACTGCCCTGTCATAGCTGTGATTTTCTGAGTTATTTTTGGGCATCTTACGGATTGAACTGGTTTAGACAAAAACATAAAAGTTCTAGCCCTTTCTCTAAGCTTTAAAACGAGATAAAAATTGTAGCAATCCAATGTGTATAACTCAAGTTATGCCTTTTTTAGTGTGACCTGCATAGAACGATTGTCTTTGATGCAACATTGATATTGGCATTTCCTAAGTGCATTATTGAGCATGAGCCATCCATGTGCATTAATTGTGCATTGAGAAGTAGCTTAAGAAAGAGTAGAGAACTTTGTGAATAGACTGCTCTAGGAGTTAAGCTATACTATGAGTACTAGCTTGAGGAAGAGAGGAGTATTAGCTTGAGCAAGAGTAGAGAATTTTGAGTATAAGCTATACTATGAGTAATAGTTTGAGTGAGAAAGAGTAGAGAATGTTGAGAATAGCAACTCTAAGAGTAAAGAGAATAAGAACACTCTAATAGTAAAGAGAAAGAGAGATTGAGCACTAGCGAATAAAAAAAAGAGAAAAGTGCTACAAAAGAGAATAGAGTAGGTTGTGCGATGGGGAACCCTTGAGTGATGAGTAAAGTCACAAGAGTGGGTGCTTTGTGATCCCCAGCCGTGCCTCTGGTTAGATGGGGCCGTGACATTCAGAGAGAGAGAGAATACACTCACGTGGCCAAGGGTTCCGAATCCATGCATGACCGACTCCGATCGACAGAGAATGAGTAGAAGTCACGAAGAGTGGGTTGGTGCTTTGTGATCTCTACCCGGCCGTGCCTCCGGTAAGATGAGGCTGTGACATGCAAGCGAAGAAGAATGAGCAAACATGAGAAAGAATAAAGAGAGACAATGAGTAGGGTTATGAAGAGTGGGATAAGTACCCAGCCGTGCCTCCGGTAAGATGAGGTCGTGACCTACAACAAAAAGTTAATAGAAAAGAGTTATGAGAAAGAGAGACAGAAAGATAATCAGTAGAAGTCACATAGAGCGGGAGAAGTCCCGACCGTGCCTCCGGTAAGATAGGGCTGTGACATTCAAAGAGCGAGTTAGTAGAAATGAATTATGAGAAATGAGAATGAGATAATGGAGAGAATGAGAAAGCTTGAGAAAGCTTGAGAAAGAATGAGATAGAAAGAGAGAGAGTATGAGAAAGAATGAGAGAGTTTGAGTTAGTAAGAATAGAGAGTAGAAGAAAGAAACATGCAATTCTTTTGCATTAATTGCATGTACATCTCATACATGCATGCACCATGAGTTTCCATGGTTAGTGAGAGTATAACGAGAATAAGAGAGAGAACCATGATTTTCCTTCATGGTGAGTGTGATGAGAATAAGAGAGAACCATGATTTTCCTTCATGGTGAGTTAGAATAAGAGAAGGAGAAAAGAGAATAAGAACAGAGAGAAAGAAATAATAAAAAGAGCAGAATAGAGTTAAAGTAGAATAAAAGTATTAGAAAGAAAGAGAAAAACAGTGAGAATTAGAAAATAGAAGAACGATAGAGTAAGGAAAGAACCAAAGAGTGAGTTGCAGGGACAGGTAGTAAAGGATTCACTTACTGAGCATTGTTATGCTCACCCCATTGTTCTTCCCTGTTTTGCAGGAAATAGGAGCAGCGGTCGGATAAACGTCGAGGAGCGGAGAGTATTGGCATTACTATCCACCAGTTATGATATTTTGTATTAAGTAGAAAGTTTTTAATACATAGTATTTTGTATTTGTAAAGAATTATATTTTATTGAGTAAAGAAAAAATTTGAGCCCACTATTTTCCATACGCTATGTATATCTATAATTTACATAGTATGAACTATAAGAATAGTAGTAGAGAGCAGATGTTACAGCTACCCATTCTCAAACCAGTGAATGAAGATCTCTACAACAACTAAGTTTTCAACTCCACTACAACCATTGTCAGCCTACCTTTTAATTCCTAAAAGTGAGAAATGGAGAGAGCCTTTGTCAAAACATCAGCTATTTGCAATTTAGATGAAACATATTACACCAGGACTCTCTTGGCTAACACTTGATCTCTTATATAGTGTGCATCTATTTCTATATGCTTTGTTCTAGCATGAAATACAGGATTAGATGCTAAAGCTCCTGCACTTACATTATCACACCAAATTATGGGAATGAAGCTAAGTTTCACATCTAATTCAGAGAATAGACTGTCCAACCATGCTAACTCAGTTA